ATGACATTACTGAATGATCTCAAAGCCATCTGCTATTCTGAACTATTTTGTACTTTCTTTAAAAATACAGACGGTTATAAGTATAGGTTTTTTTGCACATCTACAGTTATTGTTTTCTAATTACTGTCATGTAACATAAATGCAAAAGCATTTAATATTTATCTAGTCTTTCGCATAATATGTCATAACAAATTTCTCTTAAGTCATCTGTTTTGCTGAAGTTGCTATGTGTATTTCTTCAATTTATGCTATGGAAGTTAAAAATACAGTGATCAATAAAAAATATAAAAATTCTGCACATGTGAAAATAAAATTATGGTAAAATGTTTGAACACCATCTCCAAAACAAGAGACTAAATTAAAAAAATCATGTTTGACCTAAAATATTAATGTCTTGCAAAATCTTTTCTAACATATGTGACAATTTTCGATAGAGGGACGAGCTTTTTTTTTACTTTTAGACCTAGAGTACTTTTTTTTTTTTTACTTCTTACTAAACAAGCATATGTCCTTTCCCAGATTTTACTAATCAGGTCTTGCTGGCCTAAGATGTAATACTTTGATGAAGAAATTCTAAAAAGTTTAGCTTTTTTTATTTCACTAATTCTGAATACTTATAAAAATTTGGACTACTACAAATTTTATTAAAACTCATCCTATGATTCAAAAAGGTGCTTCAGACCGCTGACGAACATTTTAAATTAAAAAGAAACTGTATTTGATATGGTAATGAAGTTAAAATATCATTGCACCTGCTTAGACAATATTCAATCTAAGAATGCTACTATTTAGAGAATTCTATGCATTTTAAAAAAAATAGCACAAATAATTATTATATATTCAGATTACACACGACTACTGAGTCATTCGCCAACAACATACATTCAAACAAAAAACAATAAAATTTTTTAAAAAAATCTGACAGGTTTTCAGATTTTAAATTACGTCCAAAAGGACATTTCTTTAACGTTTTGTGTGGTACCTTTATTTATTAAATATCATGTTCTTTGCACATACACCATAAAATTCAGTTCAATAGCAATGTCGATAATTAATTTTACAATGAGCATATATTTAGAATTTCCGGTACACAATTCCGCGTGCTGGAGGTAAAAAGGTTTCCACCCCCGTAGAGTGTTGCTATTGCTTGCTTTGAAATCGTTGAGTTTGTTACTCAAAAATTCGTTAAAGTTCACAAAATATGAAATAGATAATAAAACAAATTCCTAATTTCAAATTTGATCTTCCACATGCCCATATTCGTAGGAGGATTACGTCATTCAAACTTGGATGGCCTTTTTTCAAATCTTTTTTTATCACAATGCCAGAAATATACACACATTTACGCAGATTGTCATTATTTAATTACTTCAAATGTAATGCGGGACTGGTGGCAACAGTCTGAAAAGTGATTCGCCGTTTATAGTGATTCAACGCAAGATCGCAAAAACGAAAACAGTATTAGTATTTAAAACAATAGTCTCTCAAGGACTATTGTTTTAAATACTAATACGTCCCTTTGGACTAATAAATAAAAGTATGAAAGGTTTCAGATTTTAAACTACGTCCAAAGGAGCGTTTTTAAACGTTTTGTGTGTACCTCATTAAATATCATGTTCTACGTACTCAAACCATAAAGTTTAGTTCAACAGCAATATCTCAAAATTATTTTAAAATGAGCGTATCTTAGAGTCTCTCGCGCTGGAGATAGAAATGGGATTTTTTTCGTACGGTGTTGACATTACTTGCTTTGAAATCGTTTAGTTTTTTTAATCAAAAATTCGTTGAAGTGTTATAAAATATGAAATCAATAATAAAACAAATTTCAAATTCAAATTAGGGCTTCCACATGCCCATATTATATGGAAGATTACATTACTTAAATTTTGATAGCTGTAGGTACCGTTGTTTTATTACAATGCGAGAAACATACGTACATTCATGCAGATTCTTCATTATTTAATTTCTTTAAGTATAATACAGAGCGATAATATTTAGTGGCAACAATTTGAAAAGTGATTCGCCGTTTACAGTTTTCAATGAAAAATGCCAAAGCAAAATTAAAAGTCCTTCAGGGCAAATTGCCCTTTTGGATTAAAAATAAAGTAAGCAAACATAAAAAAGTAAATTTTCGTACTTCTTTTCTTAATAGTATTTCGTTTTATTTACTTACTGCAGTTTTTTTTTAACTGAAATTTGTTACTTTTAGAAAAGTTGCGGGTTATATTTGACATTTAGTTGTTAGGCTGTAGGTTGGTTATTTTAATAATTTTATAGCAAAATACAGAAATTTTAACACAACCTTTGCCTTTCTGCTTGTTTATATTTGTACTATATGTTGATTACATTTTTTAACAGTTTTTTATTCGTTAAGAAATCAACAAATGATTCGTTACATAATGAAAATTTTGACGTCATTTATAAAGTTCGCATTTTCGATTTTTTGCCATTGAATTGTTACAAAAGTTTTTTGTTTTGGAATTTATTTATAGCATAGAAATTTCACACACCTTTGCTTTCTGCTTGTTTTATATGCATTGAACAATGTACTTACAAATGTAAGAAATCAAACCATGAAATTTATCTAAAAAATCGCATTGAATCATGTACATAAAAAGATTTGGAATATTTGAGATAAATTTGACAGAACTTCATCAAACCAGTATAAAGCAACGAATATTGTTCCAAAATGAATAAATATTCACCATTATTATTTTTACTATCAAATTAGATTATGCTTCATAAACCCGTTCAAAATACGCTTATTATAAATTACTGTTGATGGCTAATTTTTATTTGAATTATTGCTTAATTGTGTTATTCTTTACATGTAATTATATATAACTCATATTAAATGCAGTACTTACATGCGCTATTCGTTTCGCTCGAATAATTAAAACTTATAACTTGTCGGTTTTAATTATGTATCTATATATCCATAAGTAAATTTGTTTAAATATTTCCTAATGCTATTTTTAATTGAATTCACGAGCATTTCGCATATTTCTGAACATTCAATTAAAAATTAAAGGATATTTTATGAAAATGTTATCTGTTTAAAGAGAGTATTGAAAAAACATGCTTACATGCTACTTTTTTTATTTCGCAAAGAATGTCCACGTTTGTTTGTTGTTTATAAACCACTACATGCTCAAGCGTTTTCTTGGCGATTAAACATATCAGTCTTTAAGCGTTTTCTTAGCGACTAAACATAGCGGTCTAAAACGAAAAAGAGCAACCCTCTTTGCCTCCTACTGAGAACTGTCATTTAGAGATCTCCAGGGTTCCAGAAATAAGGGGGGCAGGAGGAGACATCTGCACGGCCGCTTTAAGGCGGTCATAACGCTTTCGAGGTCTTCACCACTGACCGAATAGACCCGTCAGTAACGCTTTCGAACACTTTTCCAGTGACTGCCTAGAAACGTCCGTAACGCTTTCGAGGTAAACCGCCTTGACCGCCTAAACCCGGTCATAACGCTCAGAGGGTTAACTAAACTGTTAGTAAAACTAAGTAAATCCCCACATCTTTTCCTGTCAGAATTTCAGTACACGAAAAATAGGTCCTTAATGACCTCATTAAAGACCTTAATCTCTATCTATCTCAAATTTTCAGAGCCGACCTGTTTTAATAACATGAGATTAGAAGTGTAAAAACAAAATTTTATTTACAGAAGAGCTGGATTCTTTGTCTCAAGATACAACTTTTCGGAAGCTTACATCCTTTCAGAAAATTTGGAAGGAAAAAGACTTTAGAAAAATATTCTACAAACATGATATATAGTTTTTGCAAAACACTTTCATTCCACGCATTTATTACATTTGCAAAAGATTTCATTTAATTTTATCTACACATTCATTCCACACACTTATTCCACAATTAAATCTCTTCCCCCCATTGCTTTCCAGAGGAACTGGAATGTAATAGCGAGGCAGTGTCTTTTATACACATGTTTAAAAACACTTCCAGCTAACCAACAACATACATGTTAGCAGTTCTTGACTTAGACCTCAAAGACACCCTACTTTCAAAACTGCACATAATGTGTTTGCTAATAAGAGCATGATTTAAACTGTAGGGTTAGCTGGAGAGCCTAACCTAACTCATACAAATAGCTAACTTTTCTTTTAGCTTAATTTCTGACAATTCTGCTAGCTTGCACACAACCATCTCATTCATTAAATTCTTATAACTGCTCAAGTCTTACATTAGTTAAACATATATATTTGTGAATACTTTCCGTAAGATAAATCTAAGATATAGTTCATTGAATAAAATATTTACAGTAGAATTCAGCTTCCACTTTACATTGAGATACACGAGTTGCTTTGAAATTCTTAGCATTTTCATTCGTGTTTCCTGGTAATACTCTCTCAGACTGAAATTGCATTGCTGTTTCTCAGGTAGCATTAAAATGAATATATTTAATTACAGTTTTAACTTCTGAGCCTTTTTATTCTTTAAATGAACTAACTCACTTGAGGTAAAACTTAAAGGAATTTAGCAACTAGTCCTTGATATAAAATAAAATTGCACTTATCATTTTTATCTTTCATACTCTTCCATTCTTCTCCTCACAAAATCACTCCACGTAAGTCTTTATTTGTCCAACATGAACCCTTTGGCAACTTTGGCTCTCTCCCTTCTTTGCAGCCTTTAAAATGCTCTGGCATCTAAACTGAAGAAGTTTAGAAAAGATTTGTATAATTATGTATCTGGGTTCTTTATAATATTATTAGCAGGTGTATCTTATACTGATTACAGTGATATGCTTGAATGAATGTTGATTTTTCAGAACAGAAATATGTGGATATTACATTGCTGATCTTCACTTATATTGCGTTTAATAATCACGAAAATTGCTCTTCTCGTGCATAAAAACTGCTATTCTCATCTTAACACAATAGAAACTAAATAATGTGGCAGGGAGGAATATATTAAGATTAATATTATTTAAGTGCTGCATTATATTTATTATAATTTAATTATTTTTCTTTTTTAGTGATGTTCGCAGTTGTTTCACTATGTACTGCTATTGGAGCCTGGCAGTGGTTGATGGATCCACAAACCACTCAAGTAATTTATTGCAATAATTTCTTCATTTACCATTAATAGTGTGCAATAAATAAAATGTTACAAAATAAATGTAATACTTTTGTTTTTCGTAACTTTTCTCCTGTGTACAAATCTCTTGAAATCATAAACATGTCTAAGGGAACTTTTCTGTAAAATTATTATACTATACTCCAAATTATATTATGTCGTCTTTTCCTAGCAGTCATACAATGACCGATGCAAATTGAAAATTATCAATATCTACACAATACAACTTATTTAACGTGTAATTTGACATAAATTTACATTTATTATTATCCCAAAGGGGCGTTAGCCCAGAAGGCCTGTTAGTCTTGAAATGGCATTTTGTGTTGAATCACTTTTCAGATTGTTGACACCAAATATTATCATCTTGCATTATATTTAAAGAAATTAAAAAATGAAGAACTTGTATGAATATATGTATATTTCTTGCACTGTGAAAAAATAATGGTACCTAAACTCGACAGCACAAACAGCCCTTAGAGAGCCATGGCTGGACAGTGCTCCGATATCTGCTTTCTAGACCGTGGTCTTTGGGAAGCTTGTGCAGTTTGTGTGGACAAGTGGTCAGCTTGTCGCAGAGCAAACAATGGTGCTTAGAGCCGTTAAATTTTAAATAATATAGTACGCCACCCGAATATAAGCACCTGGAAGCCCGGATTTTTAATTTCGAATATGTTTTATATTTTGTAAAACTTTAATGAAGTTTTGATTAAAAAACTCGATGATTTCAAAGCGAGCAGTGGCAGACTGTACGGAATAAAACATCTTCATTCGTAGTGCACGAGACTGTGTATCAGAAATTCTAAAGATACGTTGTTTTTAAATATTTTTAGCACAAATGCTTTTGAAATGTATATGTGTTTATAAATGAAAGAAATGCCCTTTTGGGGCATAATATAAAATTTAAAAACTGTCAGTCTTTTTTTTTTTTTTTTTTTTTTTTTTTTTTAAGTCTAGTTTTGTAAGCAAGCAATTTATTTTGAATAAACAGGAAAATACCCCAAAATTATTTTGAATAAATAGGAAAATACCCCAAAATTTGTTTTTAACAGACACTTTCCAATGGCTACAGTTTAGCAATTTTTGCTAATGATATTTTAAATATCAAATAAATTGACTGATATGATAGCGAATACTTTTCTTTTGTTATTTCTATTAATGTTCTACTTTCTGAGCTTTAAATCTTTTTCCATTGAATAGCAATTAAAAATAATATGCATGTGAATTAAATAACTAATATGTTAAGGGAGAAAATGTTCGCTAGCAGAAATGTAAAAAATGTACTCAAATTACTCTGTTTCTCATGAAGGCAGAAGTATATATATTAAACAGCAAGATACTTTTATTTTAGAAGTGAATGTACACAGTAAATAATTAACAATTAAAAGCTTAAATTTTAAAGGGAAAAATTTTTTCTTCAGTTTAGAAGTGTAAATCTTGCACATACACAATTTGGTAACCTGTTGTTTCTTGCCAAGGCAGAAATATACCAATTCCTCTTTAACACCAGGGCTGCTATAAAAGGGAGAAAAGAAAGTAACATTTACTTTTGTTAATTAATGCACAGATAACCAACAATAAATATCCTGTTTATTTGAGAAATTAGATCTCCAGTGATCCCTGAAAGATTTAGATATTTATTAAATGTGAACTACTATAGAGTTCAACAGAAGAATTTAAGATGTAGTTTCATTGCCTTCTGATCATGTAGATAGCAGAAAAAGTTCTACATCATCAAATCAACACAGAATAAATAATATGCCTGAAATCTTTTTGTAAAGTAAAAGATGGGCAGCTTATTGTATAACCTTTTGCAGGCAAGAAAGGAGACAGAGACTTCTGCAAATGATTTCATTCTAAAGGACAGCAGGACTTTGTCATTAAACCTTTTTTTACAAAAAAATGTTAAAAAATCATTTGTTTGAGATATTAAATACTTATACAGTCAAAAGTCGTTAATCCGGACTCGTCGGGACTTCGGCGATTCCGGATTATCGATTTTTCCGTATTATAGATCATCAGTTTAAATCGCGTAAGTGGCATGCAGAAATTCAAAATTAAAATATGAAACCTTAAATTATGAAATAAGAGCAATTATGATCTAAAGGGTATCAAAATTTACAAAAAAAAACTTAATATTGATTTGTTTACTTATTAACATTTCTTTAATGAAGTTGTTTAAGTGCTTCGTTTTAGTGATATCTTTCTTTTTAATTCTATAAACAGACATAATTTTTTTGTTCAGTTACAAAGTTCCGCTGTTCAAGTCCCGTAATTGCGCAGAAAGTTTTTAGCTTTGAGGTCCGGATTATAGATCATTCCGAATTATGGGTGTCCGAATTAACGACTTTTGACTGTATTGCATCTTCAGAGCTTGATTACTTTATTAATGTAAACATAAATAGCTTCTAATTCCTATCACCAAAGTTAGAAGATTTGAGGAAAATAATACTGCTTTTATGAGTGAAATAATTTAAGAAACTATCCTATAAATTTTGCTGCCTAGTGTTTAGCTAATATAAGAATTGGATTCTGAAATGCCAAGAAATGGCTTATAAAAGACATCCTTTATAATGGTGATTAGGATTTGTAAATGTGTCATTTATTAAAGCTATTTCTAAATTGTAAAGTTGATTTCAGGCTACAAATCTTCACTATTTATTACATTTTCATTATTTACTGATTGTGGCAGTGCAAATATCTTCTCCCAGTTAACAACAGTTATTTTGTTTTATCCCTTCTTGCATTCTTCAGTTGCTTCAACAGTAAAGTCACAAAATATATAAAACTACCATATCTTTAGAATTTGATAGACATTCACATGTGTTGGAGATGAAAATGTTTTATTCCATACAGTGTTGCCATTGCTTGCTTTGTGAACTTGTTAATGAATTTGTTACTGTTTTACAAATGTTTGTTAATGTTTTATAATTGAATTCGTTAATTTTTTACAAAATGTGAAATAGACAATAAAACAAATTCAGACTTCCAGGTGCTCATGTTCGGGGAAGGGGGAAACCTATGCTGTTCAAAATTCAGTGGCTCCAGGTATCATTTTTTTTTTTCAGTGTGAGGAAATATACATGCACATTCTTCATTATTTAATTTCTTTAAATATAATACAGGGCGATAATACTTGGTGGCAACAATTTGAAAAGTGATACAATGTATTTAAGTGTTCTGACACAAAATGTCATTTTGAAACTTATATCCCATTCCAACTGTCTATTTTGGGCTACAAATTGTTGCATGAAAAAATTACACTATAGAACATAAAAAAATTGATAAAATAATCTAGAAATAATGACACCTGCCCTAAATTGAAGCTATGCTCCAAAAGGCTTTGAAATGGATTGTTAAGCTATTATTTATATTTATAGACATATACTTTTATTTTCATTAAGAAGAAAAGATAATAAAATAATAAAAAAATAGTTCATATTTTGAAAATCAAGAAATGTCGAATGTTATAGGCAATTATGAATATAATGATCCATTGATTAAGAAAGAGCACTTGAAGGCTATTTGTTTAAAAGGAAAGATTCCTTTGTAAAGATTTTTGAGAGAAATTGGTTTGTATTTTCATTACACAAATGGAAGCAAGTTCACCAAAAATAGCATATGACAGTGCACACTTAACAGAAGATATCAGCTAAATGGAAAAGAAGCTGCACATTTATGCAAAAATATACTGAAATAAGGAATGTGTTCTGGGTACAAAGCAAAGAAGAATAAATTATTAGCTGTGTGACAAAATTTTATGTATTTTAAAAAAGTCAAAAGAGTTGGGGGGAATTTTATGAAGCCATCAACAGCAAAATAATTCCATTTTATGTAGCACATTTACAGAATGATTTCAATAGAGAACTAAAAAAGGAAATGTGTTTTAATAAAGTTTCTGGCAACAGCTTATTGTTTGAAATGAGAAATATTATCTGCTATTTTAAAATTTATTCTTCTTTTAAAATGTTGCATGTAAACAAGCTGTGCATTGAAGGATATGTTTTTATGCTTTCGGAAGAGAATTATTCCTATTTTGTAATTCAGAACATTATTCATCAGAAAGGGGAGAACCATCAGGCATTACTTTTACATGGTAAGCAAACACTGGTTATCATAAATTAAGGAAAAATCACGATTACTGAAAAAGTTACATGTAGAATTTTATGAAAGTTACCCACAATATACAACACATAGTAAGGTATCAAATAACATAAAAAGAAATTACCAGACAATTATGGTAGTATAGAAATTATCACATGTATAAAATGAACAAATCGAAGATGTCAGTTTGCTATAGTAAAAGTACCTTGAATTTGGAATATAATCGCCTCTAGAAGCAATACAGCATATTCAGTGATGTGTGATGCTTTCAGTTATGTGGTCTATCAGTTCGATAGAAAGCGAGAGCCATTGCTCTTGCAAAGCAGTTGCAAGGCTCTAAGGGGGAGGATTGAGAGCAGCTAGATGTCTCTCTAAAACATCCCAAACGTGCTCGATAGGATTCAAGTCCAGGGATCGAGCTGGCCACTCTATGTGCATAATTGTTTCCTGTTGAAGATAATCATATACGATGCGAGCCCTGTGTGGTCTTGCATTATTGTCCTGTAACAGGAAAGCATCACCTATTGCCCCGGCATATGGGCGCACATAAGCATCAAGGATGTCATCTCTGTAAACATGAGCATTCATGGTTCCCCTTGGAAAAACATGGAGGTCTGTGCGTCCACCCAAAGAAATGCCACCCCAAACACAGACACTGCCTCTTCCGTATGCATCTCTTTCACGGATGTTTGACGGATGATAATGGGTTCCAGGTTCTCTCCATATCAAAAAACGCCTATTATCGCGTTCTAGACTAAACCTGGACTCATCCGTGAAGAGAATAGCCCTCCATTGCTCAGGCGTCCAGTGGACATGTTGCGTGCCCACTGCAAACGGTCCCTCCTATGGCGTGACTTGAGCGGTGCACAAAT